GGGTCTCCAGCCGAACGCGCGGGGCTGGGGGGGGGGGGGTAAATTTTACCCCCCCCCCCTGTTATCTCCCGAACTAATGGTCCGATTTGGAAAATTCAAACGCCAATCGAAAGCTCTCATCACGAACTACTAAAAACATGTACTTAATTTAAAGTTTGAGGTCAAGGTCAAGGTCAGGTCAAGGGTACAAATTGCAAGTTTCTACAGTATCGGCCTTGCACCGTAGTTGCCGAAGAATGGAGTCATGGACTGAGACTGATCGCCCAAAACGTGTTCTTAGGCTACCAATACAATATTCGTTGCATACAATATCATTTAGAGGTCAAGGTCAAGGTCAGGTCAGGTCAGGTCAGGTCACCAAAAAACAAAATATAGAAAAGGGCATGTGCGACACATGTTTTATGGGTCATTTTACTCATAGAATTCAATAGGCACACTCAATAAGTGATATGGACCACCTCTGGATGAATTTCAGGTCGAGGTCAGGTCAAGGTCAGGTCAAGTGAGGTCAAATTTTGAAGTTGGTTGTTAAGGCCTAAAAAGGTGTCTATCTGATGCATTTTTTCACGGCGAATCAAATGGTGCTATTTTTGTTTCCGTACGAGGTCTAGAACTTCCAAAAAAGTCATTTTTCAAAAATTTTGTGTGTCGTGACGTCATAAAATTTTGAATAACTCCCACATTTTTGAACCGATTCTTCTAAAATTTGGTATGTAGGTGCACATAGACCACGTCTCTGACATATATTCCGGTTTTTTCGATAGACTCAAAATTTTGGATTTTATAATGATTTTCCCCCAAAAATCAGTTTTTTGAAAAAAATTAGAACAAAATCCAAAATTTTCAAAAAACCGAGATAGCCATTCGATAGACAAAGTAAAATTACGTATAACCTTTTTTGTTACGTCTTGATTCCTTTAAAAATGAAGATGTTAGCGGCGTTTGAACTTTTGCCGTTTTTGAGGCGAAAATGGCGAACATGACGTCACTAAAACGTCAATTACTCAAAAAATTTCCGACGGATTTCGCTCAAATTTTCAGGGAACGTGTCAAATTGATGTAAGAAAAGGTACTGAAAGTTTGGCGGCGCTGCGCGCCGCCGTTTTTGAGATATCGCAAAAATTCCCGAGGGGGGGTAAAATTTACCCCCCCCAGCCCCGCGCGGGTTAATCCAATGGGAACTGTCTCGTGGGTGCCTCATGGAGGAGATTTGTAGGAACTGTTTTTGAAGACAAGTAAAGAAATGTAATGACCAAATGCCGTTGACAGCTGATTGTACCGACCAATTGCTACCAGTTAGCTGTTTTTATAGTCATTTTTGTACAGAAAACACAAACTGAAATCTGTCTCGCGGCTACCCTCTTCGGCTCTTTCCTGTCTCCTACATTGTAGGCAAGTAGGAAGGTTTGTGCACCTCTGCTGAATGACCTAGGACCTTAAAATTGGGTATCATTGGCTTCCTCTCGTCACGGGCAACACGCTCGCTTTTTTTTTCTCGAAACTCTAGCTCGATCAGGGGCGAAACGGCAAGGGGGGTCCAACGGACCCCCCCTTATATCGTTCGCGGCTGGAAAAACACCAATACGGGCGAGGGTTAACCCGCGCCCCACTGGGGTCTGTGTATAACACGCCCTACTGGGGGGGGGGGGGGGCTATTCATAGCCCCCCCCCTCCTAACTCCGAAACTACTGGGCCGATCGTCAAAATTCAAACGGCGTCTGATAGCCCCGGAAAAACTGTCGAGCGAAACCTAATTTCATTGACTTCGAGGTCACCGATGACGTCACAGGTCAGGTCAAAGTAAAAATTATTAGCACTTTGGCTTGTTCACATTTTGGGCTCTGGCCGCCGTCTTACAAGTCAGATCAGGCTCATTTTTGGTTTCCACACTCGTGAACAGATGCTCTAGATACCTTGAGGGTACCAAACTTGTACTTTGATTTTCAGGTCAGGGTCAGGTCATCACAGGTCACGAAAATATTATATCATGCGTCGGTCACGTGACACATGTTTTATGGTCCATTTAGGCCATAGATTTCGAATTTGATGTCGTGTGTGTCATTCAAGGTCATTTTGAGTCGAAATTAGCTTAGGTCAGGTCACTTTCAGGTCAAAAAAGGTCAAATTTTGAAGTTGAAATTTTTCAACAAAAAAGGTGTCTATTGGATGCAGTTTGAGCTCAGGAACACGATGGTGCCATTTATATTGGTGTACGATGCCAAATACGTACTGAAAAATTGATTTGAAAAATTAATAATTGTGAATTTTTTTGCAATAATGCGTATAACTTGGCCATTTTTGAAGATATTTAGCTAAAACTTGCTAGAGTTAGTCATAATCATGCGTTCTGTCACATATATTCCGGTTTTTTCGAAAAGTCAAAAACTTTTTGAAAAAATATAAAAATATAAATTTTGAATATTATTATATAAAATTTTCGAAATTTTCAAAATTTTGAAAATCCGAGATTGCAGTTTGATAGCGCGGTCAATTCTGAGTCCTTTCATGCAAAGAAATTGGATCTAGCTTAAAAACTGAGCTCTTGGGAGCGATTGCCGTGGTTCAATGTTTTGCGTCGAAATCGGACGAACATGACGTCACTCTGACGTCATTTCCGGCCGACCTATGGTAGCTACGAAGTTCAAATTTTGACACAAGGTGTCAAATTGATGCAGCCGAAGGTACTGAAAGTTTGGCGTCGATTCGTCACGCGGTTTGGAAGTTATTGCAGAAAAACGGGAGGGGGGGCTATAAATAGCCCCCCCCCAGTGGGGCGCGGGTTAAGTGAAAGTCAGATATCAAAATCGAAAAGGATCGGTTCGTTTTGGCTATTGCAGAATCACTCAGGCTCCACGAGTCTGAACTCTGATGACATGCCTATATAAAAGTGCTATAAGTGCTTGATTAGGTATAAGAGTTATAGCCGTCAGCCGTCTTGAAATAAATCAAAGCGTAGGTATGTACAGGGTGTCCCAGAAGTCTTGAAGCTTTTTTATTTTTGTCGTGTGACCTTGCTATGCCACCGATTAAGGCAAATGACGCCTCAAACGAAAGAGAAAGAACTGAAATTTTGTATTTTCATGCGTAGAGCACCACTTTAGTCAGGTGGCCCCCGTTGTGAGTCGCACACGGTTGAGCACGAGAGATCACGTTCTTCGCTGCCGCCAAGATCTCCCGGTTTGCAAAACACCGGTGTCGCCATGCCCGTTTCTGGTCAGCTTCAGAGCCTTATTTCATGAAGCGAGCCAGCCGCCAGGAAACAGAGTATTGGATCTCCGAGAAAACATTAGCAACATAATGATGTACTGATCAGAAAGTCTCCTGACATGTTTGCACGCATCCATTACGGAAATAAGGCTCAGCTGCTTGAGCACGCTAAGCAACAGCCCGTTGTAATCCCTTGATTCGTCGCATTATTATGGGGCTAAAACAAATATCAACCCGTCGGAAATATATGTCGCTAATATTATGTCCCTCGCTTCAGGGAATAAGACTCTGAAGCTGACAAGAAACGGGCATGGCATCACCGGTGTTTCGCAAACCGGGAGATCTTGGCGGCAGCGAAGAACGTGATCTCTCGCGCTCGTTCTTGTGCGACTCACAACGGGGACCACCTGTGCTCTTCGCATGAAAATACAAAATTTCAGTTCTTTCTCTTTCGTTTGAGGCATAATTCGCCTTAATCGGTGGCATAGCAAGGTCACACGACAAAAATAAAAAAGCTTCAAGACTTCTGGGACACCCTGTATTTCTTATCCGCCAACATTTGGATGACCAGTTTTGCCCAGCACAACTAGAAGACAGCACCTCGGGAAATTGTTTCTCTATACTGTAAACAAAAAATGTTTACTTCCTGGTTATCCGGCCACTTTTCACTAGCAAAATGCGAGTAGACTTCAAGTCTAATCGCGTTTTGTTATTGAAAAGTGGCCGGATAACTATAGGAAATTAGTAGTCAACTTTTTTACAGTGTAGGTGCCAATTCTGGCCGTCGTTTGCTATAGGTATGTACTTATTGTTTGGAAAAGGTCAATTTATGGTTTACCCTCAGATCAAGGTAATGTCACCTTCTCTAGGGTCATGAGGATGTTCGAATGGGCTTTTATTTCATATTTGTCATTTTGGAAGATCTCGCTAGCATTTTTTGATCGGGAGCTACTCACAAAAAAACCCACACAGTAAACGATCCCAATGATGTCATACATGACGTCACAAAAGCTAAGCAATGCAGAAGTAACTGATCAGACCTTGCATATTGTGCACGAAATCATGCTTCCATATGGTCAAGATAGCTGCAGATAATTTCCAGCGCCAAAATAAGTTTCCGTATTTCCCCTTTTGACTTGTGTATATTTAATTGGGAGGTCCCTCGACCGAGCTGACCTCGGGTGACCCGTAAAAACTCCCAGATACACGCAAGTTGTGTTGGCCTCAAGAGTCCCATGAGTTTTATCTCTTTGTGAAAGATCGACTGGCACTTAGAGCGCTGCAGAATTGCGACATTTTAGGATCGTGTAAATATCGTATGCCGTCACAGACCAGCGGCCTGAACTGAGGTTAGTTTTCCCAACAAATTGCTGCCTGATTTACTATTTGTAATAACTCATTAGTACTTGATTACAGTCGTCCATGATTTTCGCCATCCAGACAAAAGAAGTCCACTGATGTTAATATTATTTATTAATATCAAACAGCCTAACTTACCTGTATTCTAGATATCTTTTTATATCAGATTTTTTTTTCGCGTGATTAGTTGACCTAGACAGATAATTCTTGCAATGAAAATACCGGCAGCCGGCTATATTTTTTTTTTTTTTTTTGGTAAAACTGGCCTCATATCTGAAAATGTCGTTGATGAACTCTCAGCTCTTGATAGTCAGTACATTTCGAGCAATCGCGAAATGATGCTTGAAGGTGGCAACCACCCTCTTGCTCTAAAGCAGAACAGCTACATCTTTTTAGATACAGTTATGCTCCCCCCCCCCCCAAAAAAAAAACAATAACGAATCCCAGTTTTCATAGCAGGCATTTCTGCTACACCACTAATTCAGTAGAGCAATGTAAATATGAGGCAATGTATGATGCTAAAAAGAGATGTGTAATTAATAGAATGATTTTATTCTTGTCGTGCAGACAAAAGTGCATGAGCACAGCCCTCAAGAACATGCGTCACATGCGCGTCCGACATAGAAAAATGTACACACAGACACAAACACACCAAAGAGGTCGCTGCTTTAGGGCTTTGAATAACATCTAATGCTGAAGGCAACAATGGACAGCACGAACACAAAAGAACATGAAGACGAGCAATAGGAGCCGGACTAGCGCTCAACAATGATGGCACATTCACAGCTTATAATGAGACATGGGACGTTGGGCTTTGGTATCGATTCTTTCTTGGTTTATTCATAGGAGTATCCAAACTTGCTCGACCCATAGGGCTCGGCCACCATCAGGGTGATGCCGTCGAAGGTGATCGTGCGCATGTTTCCCTGGCTGGCGCTGTAGGTGCTGTGGACGACGGGGATGGACGAGGCGCTGTAACCGGCCGACGTCACCTGTCCAGAGCTGGTGATGATGTCATCATCAGGGGCAGCAGCGGCGGCGGCGGCAGCAGCGTCGTAGGCAGCCCTGAAAGCGGCCTTGGCGGCTTTGACTTCAGCCGTATCCTCAACGTTGCCAGAAGCATCCAGGGGTGCAGCGGGGCCTGAGTAACCGGTAGCCACGGGAGCCGGAGCGAGGTACGCAGACTGAGGGACCGGAGCGCTGTAAGTAGCAATGTCGCTGGCCACGAAGGGGACTCCACTCACGATGATGTCATTATCGGGGGCAGCGGCAGCAGCAGCGGCGGCGGCATCGTAGGCAGCCCTGAAAGCAGCCTTGGCGGCCTTGACCTCGGCGGTATCATCGACATTACCGGAGGCATCCATGGGCGCAGCGGGTCCAGAGTACTTGATCGCTACGGGGGCCGGGGCCAGGTAGGTCGAGTGAGGAGCAGGAGCGCTGTACGTAACAGAGTGGACGGGAGCAGGGGCCGGGGCGCTGTAGGTGGCAGCGGGGACAGCGCCAGTGATGATGTTTACATCAGGAGCAGCCTCGGCAGCAGCGGCGAGAGCATCATAAGTAGCTTTGAAGGTTGCTTTAGCAGCCTTGACCTCAGCGGTGTCATCAACGTTGCCAGAGGCATCCAGGGGCGCGGCAGGTCCTGAGTACTTGATCGTTACGGGGGCCGGGGCCAGGTAGGCTGAATGAGGCGCCGGAGCGCTGTAGGAAACAGAGTGGACGGGAGCAGCAGGGGCAGGTCCAGTGATGATGTTCACATCAGGAGCAGCCTCGGCAGCAGCGGCTAGAGCATCGTAAGTAGCCCTGAAGGTGGCCTTGGCAGCCTTGACCTCAGCGGTGTCGTCAACGTTGCCGGAGGCATCCAGGGGCGCACCAGGACCCTGATACTTGATGGCCACGGGAGCAGGGGCCGGGGCGCTGTAGGTGGCAACGGGGACAGCGCCAGTGATGATGTTGACATCGGGAGCAGCGGCGGCAGCAGCGGCAGCGGCGTCGTAGGCAGCCTTGAAGCTAGCCTTGGCGGCCTTGACCTCAGCGGTGTCATCAACCTTTCCAGAGGCATCCAGAGGCGCAGCGGGTCCCGAGTACTTGATGGCCACGGGGGCCGGAGCCAGGTAAACCTGCTGAGGAGCAGGAGCGCTGTACGTAACAGAGTGGACGGGAGCAGCAGGGGCAGGTCCAGTGATGATGTTCACATCAGGGGCAGCCTCAGCAGCCGCAGCCAGGGCATCGTAGGTGGCCCTGAAGGTGGCCTTGGCAGCCTTGACCTCGGCGGTGTCCTCTACCTGCTCGGGGTGCGTAGCCAGCTCCTCCAGGGTGGCGTAGCGGACGGGGGTCTTGCTCACGTAGGTCCTGGTGGAGGGAGCACTAGGCTCCTTGAGAGACGTCACCACGTAGCCGTTGACGCCGGCAGTGTACTCGACGCTGCCGCCATCGGCGCCGAACTTTCCGCGCACCTCGTTGACGTCATCGCCCTCCTGGGCCTGGTAGAGGCCCTCGGCGGTGTCGAAGCCGTAGCTGTAGGAGCCGTCGTTCTGCTGCGTGTAGTACTGGGCCCGGCGTCCCTGGTTGACGACCGGGAGCTTCCAGCACTGGCAGCCAGCGACCAGCAAACCCAATACGACCTGTGAAGCATTCACATGAATATTATAATAACTTTTTCATGTACCTGATTTTAATTTGCATGCATTTTTTAAATAAGTTATCTTATTTTTTGCATAAAGCAAGAGTTGTATGTGCCGTGCTGCAGACACTAGACATTTTACGCATTTATGTAAAATGTTCATTACATGCAACCGAAAAATAAATGCGGCAAATTTAATGCAATGGCACACCATCACTATTTTCGAAGGACTAACATAGCTTTCCACTAGCTGAGCAATCGTCATATCATCAGAAACGACTACGGGACTGGCACGCAGACGGGTAGACTTTGTGTCAACTCACCAGACGAGCCGCCATGGTGAGACGGACGGTGAGAGTGTGAGAGTGTGCTGCTGATCCACCAGTGGACGCCGCTTATATAGTGCGGCGCTGAGCGGGGCTGTGGCCGCCGGCAGCGGGACTCTTCACGGCACCAAGGCCGGTCAGTGCAGTGGGCCGGCCGGACGGACGGGCGGCTCCTGCCGCTCCGAGCTACGTCTATTCTGTTTGATAGGTTGAAGTTGACATTACTAGCCTATCCTGTTATGCTAAATAATGTCATATTTATATTGAATCAATCATAGTGGATGATCTTCTTAATATTGAGAAACCACGATATTTATAATTATAAGTCACGAATTGCTGATTCTGTACCAACCGGAAGAGTAACTTTTGTAACACTTAGTTTGCTTTCACTTTAACACTGACAACCAAAACGATTCTCTATTCCCTTTGATCATGGTGTGTCATGCTCCTATAACTCTGCCGTTTTCCTGGCGGAATGCCCTTAACCCACGAGCCGCTGGGGGGGGGGGGGCATAAAGTTGCCCCCCCTTTACGTTTTGTGAAATATCTCCGAAACCTGATGAGCTACGAACGTGAAACTTGGCATAGCTTTAAATGAATACCTAGGCAATGTTTGAAGAAAGTTTGGTGGTTGTAGCACCTAAGAGGACGTCACAGTGACGTCATAAAGGTTTGTCGTTTTCCGATATGGACCGTTTCTGATGACGCTGAGCATGAAACTCGACTGTAAATGAACTAGACAGCACCTGCTGTCATCCTAAAACATCTAACTACACTTTTATCTAGTTTCTGACCAATAATCGGCCCTCTATATTCGGTCCCATATATCTGATGTATCGTGAGGAATATGAGAGTCGCAAATCTATAATTTCACTTATGACGTCACTGTGACGTCATTTCAAATGGGATCGACACCAAATTTGGACACAATCTCGGCTAGGTATTCAGGAAGATGTGTGCAAAGTTTCGCTTCTCTATGTCTTCGCGTTGCGACGATATCGTCGCAGAAGTAAAGGGGGGGCAACTATATGCCCCCCCCAGCGGCCGGCGGGTGGCGCGGAGGCCCAGCGGCCGCCGGGTTAAGATACTCAAATGGAATACACTGAGAACTGTTTTGATTCCTTTTAAGCATATTAGGGGTTTTGGTCTAAAACAACACCCTATATACTCGTATGATAAAATGAATGTCACCATCGTCGGTTCATTAAGGCATGGGCCATATGCTGTGAATACCAATTTTAATTTTCGAGGATATATTCTAACCGGATTGACTTGAACTTGACCCTGCCCTATGCTTGAATGACCCCAACATGAATCAGACACTCGTGTAGCACTTATGTATGTGTATATGAAGAATTGTGCACAGTCTTGGCAGAGTTTATGACGAGAGACGCCCAGTACGAGGTTCCGAAGTCCATGCTACTGAAATCCCAATTTCAGGTGTCTGATCTGACCTTGACCCGACCTGTGATCTTAAAACTCAACTTACAAGCTCTCATTCGAAGCGTCTCGTCGCTTTCATTCGTTTGCCGCCTCTCGCGTGGCGCTGCGCCTATTGATTCTTAACCCGCGAGTTGCTGGGGGGGGGGGGCGTTTAACGCCCCTACTTTTTTCGCCGGGCCATAGCATAAAAATGGCGCGCCGCAGGCGCGCCAAATTATGGTTACCTGTAGGGAATTGATTGAAGTTTATTTTGACAAAGTGTTGCAGACGTTCTTCAACTTGACTCAGTGGACTGTATAACTGTGTGTGTGTGTTGACGCCTCGCATCATTTGGTGTGGCGACCGGGGCCTGACAGGATATAGGTTGATATGGTAATGAGGCGAAATTGGGAATTTATAATATAAGAAGTGGATGCTATATGAATGGATATAATTTTGGATCAAGGTTTAACCCTATTCCTGGCGGGCTCCGCCGGGACAAGAAACTGGCGGGGGGGGGATTCGGCCCCCCCCTGAGATCTCGAGAACGAAACAAGATAGCGACAAGCGGTAAACGGCATCGGATACGCACGGCCAAGATCTACAATTTTTACAAAGGTCATTTTCAGGTCAGGTCAAAGATGACGTCACAGGGGTCGAAAAAGTCAAAATGGCGGCACTAGATATGGAGAGAGTTTTTCTCGAATAACTTTCGAATTAGTCAAGATAGGAACAAACTAAGGGCATCATCGTGATCCTCTCGTCAATCCGCATCGAATGATATATATGTTGACCTCGAAAGGTCAAGGTCAAAGGTTGACCTCAGGTCACGTGACCTCGAGGTCATCATGTATATCATTCGATGCGTCTTGACGAGCTGAACACAATGAGACCATCCACGCGTCTGTATCTTGTTCCTGTACGGAGTTATTGGCCAAAAACCTTTGGTGACCTTTGATGACGTCACATGACCTCACAGCTGCCCAACAGCAAAACAGACCTCAAGGTAGTGAAGGTTGATCGTATATGAAGTCATGTATGGTATATGGGGCCATTCCGACCCGTTTTAGTGGTAAAAACAGGGAGTTGATTTTTCCCCCATTGACTTATAATGGGGAGGTCGCGAAATTGACCTGACCTTAGGTCACCGATATCAAAATTCCGAGATATACAAATTGCACATACTGGTACCCTAACTAAACCCTGAAGAGAAGAAATTGATCGGTCAAAAACTCTAGCTCTGGCGTGATTGCAAACTTTTCTGAGGTAGCGTCACCAAACCGCCTCTGGTGACCTGACCTGAGGTCAGATCAACTCAAAATTTTCAGACATGTTGCGTAGAAGCCTTTTAGGAAAAGTCAGAAAATTTGAGCTTCCTAGCTCAACGCGTTTGGGAGATATAACCAAAAAACCTCAGGGGGGGCTCCTGAGGCCCCCCCCGCCAGGAATAGGGTTAAGAGCACTCTTTTCAGAGCGACAAAGGAACCCTCTTTACAGAGAGCATGTTAAGACCTAAAAGTGTATGCAGAGCCCTCTTTTCAGAGAGACAAAGGAACCCTCTTTACAGAGAGCATGTTAAGACCTAAAAGGGTATGCAGAGCCCTCTTTTCAGAGAGACAAAGGAACCCTCTTTACAGAGAGCATGTTAAGACCTAAATATAGAGCCCTCTTTACAGAGAGACAAAGGAACCCTCTTTTCAGAGAGCAAGAGGTATTAGGAAAATAAGGAATCAGATAGGAATGATAAGTAGACCCGGTCACCGTGAAATAAAAGACTGTGCGAACTGACTGTGTGCCACTCTCCCCGTGCTCTTATCCGCCGCTGCACTCCACTCTTCACCATTCACAAACACAAGATTCTTCCGAACTGGTGAGTATTGCAGATGGCGAATAGGCGATGACAACACAGTATCACTGACAAGAAGAGTCGGCCAGAGAGAGCGAGGCAGTGCTCTCTCGGCGCCGAAAAGTAAAGAAGTGAGAGCGAGGGCTGCTCCCGCCCCGTTTATGTACTGGGTCGGGAGGACACAGATGGCGACGGAAGTAATGAAATAACAAAGAAGCTACACACTACACAGCGTCCTGGTAACCCTACCACGCGGTCGGCACATGTCGGCCTAACGGCTCCGACCCGCCGGGGACACAGTTCCACGTGCGACGCCACGCCAGCCCACCCCCTCCCCCCGGGTCAGTCCCTCCGGTAACAGCGCATCCTTTCATACAACTGCAGCTGTAGGACACGGTCGCAGGGCGAGAGGAGCGTCCCATCACCCGATCACTGCCATAAAGTCTCTCGCGGACGGCCCATCTGCCGGCGGCGTGGCAGGGGGATGGGGCGGCGGCGGCGCGGAGCGGCGCCGGCCGGGATCACGAATCGGCCCGGCCCGGCAGCTACGATCAGAGCCGAAATGAGCCGCAACACCAACTACCTAGTGCAGTTTGTCGGCAACATCACTCCCCCCTGTGTTTAGATATGCATTCTATTCACACACACTAAGGAGACGACAAACGTTCCGGCACATCCACTAACTGCATCTCATCACACCGCCGTCGCTGCTGTACGGCGACAGCGGCAGTAGTCCGCTCCTTGAAGACGTTCCGGCTGGTCGCCGCCCTTCACTACGCTGGCCAGGATGTTTGGCTTCACCTCCTCCATGTCGTCCGTCAGCGGCGGCGGTGGCGCTTGTGCCGGCCAGTTCTCTTCGTCGTCGCTCAGGAACGCTGGGCCGCTCAGCCACCGGCTCTCGGATGTGAGTTCGGAGGCAGCCAGTCCCCTCGAGCAGTCATCGGCCGGGTTCATCACCGTTTCCTCTCATCACATCCCTCCTTGACTCCTTCTCCCAACTCCTTCTTCTTCCACCTCACGACTACTTGCACTCCTCCTCTAAGAAGCATATTTTGGTAGTCGGTCGCGTGTACAGCTTGCCACTGGCGGTCCGGATCTCGGCTGAGCGGACCCGGCCATCGGCCGCAGGAAACACGCGGCTGACGCGGGCCAGCGGCCACGAGCCCCGTGACATTGCTGGCTCGACCATCATCACGAGATCACCGACCTCCAGGTTGCGTCGCTCTTGATATCACTTGCTTCTCTGTGTGAGCGTCGGTAAACTCGGTATGTACTCCTTTGTCCATCGTCTCCAGACGTGTTCCGCCACGGCCTGAGATTGCTTCCACCGGCGTCGGCTGCACACGTCCCGCTCTCCCACGAGGCCTGGTGCCAGATGCCTGTGGGCGCCGCTGAGCAGGAAGTGGTTTGGCGTAAGGGCCTCGGGATCGGTCGGCTCGGAGCTGACGTAGGTGAGGGGGCGGCTGTTCACCATATGCTCCACTTCAGCGAGCACCGTCATGAGCACCTCGTCGGTGAGTGTCTGGCGACCCACAACAATCCTCAGGGAGTTCTTCACGGAGCGGACCATCCTCTCCCACACTCCTCCCATGTGACTCGCTGCCGGAGGATTGAAGTGCCAGTCCACCTCAAACGCGCTGAGCTTCTCTGCCAGTTTCTTTTCCATGGCACGGAGCTCCGCTCTCAGTTCACGCTGGCTTCCGACGAAGTTGGTGCCGTTGTCAGAGAAGATGGCTGCTGGCTTTCCCCGTCTGGCAAAGAGGCGCCGCAGCGCCATGATGCAACTGTCTGTGTCCAGGCTGTATACAACTTCCAGATGAATTGCTCTGGTGGCCATGCATGTGGCGATCAGCCCGTATCTCTTTTCAGTTCTG